AGTTACGTTACGATGAAACAAAGTTCCGTTAAACTTTAAAATTGATCAAACTCTAAATCTTTGGTCCTGGGATTATTGGATGTGAGCGTTATGTGTGAATGTGCGTCCGCGTTTTTTTGTTTTTTCTGTGGTGCTAGTGGGGGCGCTAGGGTGGGAAGGCATGATTGAGCCTGTGAGTTTTTTTTTTTCCCTCCCAGGTTGGGGTCCTGAACTGCCCCCTATCCCAAACACATCTCTAGTCTCCGCCAAGTGTGGAGCCCATTCCCCCCGTCCTGCTCTCACATCGCTGGCTGGCGCCTGGGCTCGCTGGTGGAGCTCGGGGTTTGGGGGTGGATGCCCAGGTGGCTGCTGGCTCATTCCTGGCGGCTTCTCCGCGGGGCCCGTCTGGCCGCGGCCTTGCTGGGGCTCCTGTCTGGGGGTCGAGTGCCCCGGGGGCCTCGGATCCCTGGGGCCCAGGACCGGATTCACTTCAGGGTGGCTGGCTGCCGGAGGAGCCTGCGGACTCGTCTCTGCGACTCCCGGGAGCTCCGGCATTGCGGTGGCTGGGGGGCTTCCTCGGGGCCGTCTCTCCTCCTCCCTTGGTGGGGGTCTGATTTCCAGGGCTGGCCCCTCCTAGGTGCCTTCACTCTTGGGGTCCCTTTGGGCATCTGGGGCTTTGGGTCTCCCGGCGCTGGACTCAGTGCTCTGGGGGGGGCGCCTCTTCGGCTCTCCACAACCACTATTGAGCATTTTCTCTATGGATAAACTTTACATGCAGTAGAGCACCCTCACTAACAACTACAGGTGTTTGGTTCCAGGTACTCAGAGATTCACTTCCACACAGAAACTCCACATTCATGTCTTCAGTTAACACAGAGTACATGTCAAATTAAATAATACTACTTCAGCCATAGTATCTAGGTGTTACTTTATCGTATGTCTCCTTCCATGTCTGTTGGTTGTTCTGTTCTTGTTGCATCTCTTTGCAGGTGATGAAGCAGACTGAAGATGTTTTATCATTATCTCCCTTTTATCTCCTCTTTCTTTCATCTTTTCCTTTCCTGTTCTATTTACATTGCAGTGTCCATATAATCTGTAAAACTCCCTGCATTATTATAATAAATCTATTTATATGCATGAATCAAGAGGAACACGATGGCGATAGCCGTACTGCTCCACTGGTGAAAGTAAAATCTGTTGGGCTCTTTTTGGCATCAAGACAATTATTCTTATCGCCACATCGCCAGACAGGACACTGTTAAAAAAAAATAATAAAGCAGTTTGGGGACTTTAGACATTTTATTACTAAAATAAAAATAAAAAGTAAAAGTTAGGAGTGTTTTTAAAAACATTGATATAAAGTTGTGTAAACGGCCAAAAAAGCTGTGAAGGTGATATTTGCANCACAGAGAGATGTTGAGTCCACTATTTTTTCCTCCACTAGACATTCGAACACTCGTCTAAAATGGAGCAACGTCTATACGGTGCCGTATACAGTAGTTAGGGCGGACATTCGGTCGTAGCCAGAATCACGTGACCAACGGGGAGCAAAAAGCAGCGATCATCTCAAGTACATCCCGCTGCAGCCTGCGGGAAGGCGGGGCTTGACATCAAGCCTCGCCTTCCCGCAGGCTGCAGCAGGATGCTTCTCGATCATCTGTTCAAACGGTCAGTTAACTGACTTCCCTATAAAGTCCACTATATAGTCATGAGTGGCGTCTTTGTTGACTTTATACTAAATAAAAAATGATATTAAAACAGCAGTGAGAGGTTCGGTGTCCATTCTTTTCCTGCATTTTGGCGACTGTTACGGTTGCTAGGCAACAGCGCGTTTGGGCGGTGAAAGCCAGGGATGGCTGGACCTGTTTGGATCCGTAGCCTAAACTCTTCCGGTCTCCGTATTCTTATGGTCCTGGAAGATCCCGTCCAGATGGAGGAAGCAGCCTCTGAATGCTGGAGACACAGACTGAGTGAGCGGCAGGAAAACGCCGGCTGTCTTCCATTGTTCCATTTCAGACGCCGCGTTAAACTGTTTAAGGGAGACTCTGATCAGTGTCGGGCTTTTCTCTCCCAGTGTGGAATTATTTACAGTTTCAGCCGTCGCCGTTTCCTGCTGATAGAGCTACGCTAGCCTATCAGCAGCCTAGGAGCCGTCTTGCAGCATATACTAAACTAATTTTATTTTATTGTAAGTGATTTCTCAAACAAATAACGGTTAATATTGGAATGATACCAACAAATATCCTGATAATTGGATCCCAGCCCAAAGCTCCTGATATTTTACCTGTAGGTTGGAACCTCCTCCTCATTTGTGATTGTCGGTTCAGCTTTCGTCCATCCGCTGGCTTCTTCCTGCTGATTAGAACCGTTTTTATGATTAAGCTCAAATTTTGTGTTTCAATAAACAAGTGGAGGTTTGGCATCAAAGCTAGAAGGTTACCTCAACATTTCCACTTTTCTCTGGAGGTTCAGACGGAGATTCTTGGAGCAGAAATTAGATAAACGGTTAGAAAAACGTTTTGCTGAGATTTATGATCTGAATGTACAATAATTTGATGATCTGATCAGATGCTCCCTCTGGAGTCCAACCAGACATTACAGGTTCCTACATCTGCTTCATTAGGCTGCTATGATGAACATCCTGCTGTGGTTCAGCCTGGGCAGCTTCACCATGTTCTAATGCAGAGGTGGAGAAGCTGAAGGAGGCCTTATGGGAGGAGGAGCAGCAACATGGCTGCCTCCAAATGGAGCATCAGAAAATACAGTTAGGTCCTTTTACTGAGCAGAGATTCAGTCCTGCTTACAGGCTGCTTCTTCCTAGAAATGACCAGCTAAGAACATCCAGGTGGTTCTCCACATCTATTAGGAAAAAAACCCAAACTCTAAGCGGTTTTAGAGGATTTCTAGCCTCGTGAGACCATCCTGATCTCGCGAGCTTTCAAGGTTTCACTCGCTGATCAGTCTGGAGACTCTGTTAAAGAGAATTTGGAGCCGTCCACCTAAC